CTCGTCGTCGTCGTCGTCGTCGCAGGTCGCTGCCAGCCACGCTCTCCAAGGCCCAGCTCGCCGTCGGTCGCTGCCGTTGTGCCGTGAGCGCCCCAGCAAGCTGGCGTGGAGCACTGCGCCGCTGCACACGCAAGGCCACGCCGGCTCGCCTTCGAGTTTGCGCACGAGCCGATCCGTGCGTTGCGGTAACGTTAGAGCAACACCGGGAGCGTATCTGTCCACGCCGCCCAGCAGGCCGCGGGCGGCACCCGCTCGGCTGCGAAGAGGCCCAGACCTTCGAGGCTCGGCCGCGTCAAAACGACCAGTCGTCGCCGTCGCCGAACCCCTAGTCGCCAGCAAACATTCAACGACAGCCTAGACCGCTAGCATACAGTACGGCACGACGTCTGCAGGAGTGACGTTTTGGAACAAACGCCACGCGCGAGCCGCGTAGAATGAGAGCAACTGCCAGGCTGTTCGAAGCCCGAGAGCGGTCAGCGGCCTGCGGTTTGGGCTTTAACGACGTCCGGGTGACCAATGAGCACGCCCAGAGCGACGAAGCCGGGCTGCGCTGCAGAGGCCACACCAGAAGTCCGGGCCCAAGTCGTCGATGCCAGATGGTGCGTCCCCGCCTGCCGCGGTGTAGACGATTCGCGGCTTGCCCAAGTTTGCCTCGACCCCCGCGCCTCGCTCGACCTCACGAGTGACAATGCGCTCCAATCCCTCACAATGGCTGCCGAAGGCAGCGCCGCAACATGCTGGGCAGTGCCAATTTGATGCGCAGAGGGACCACCGACCAGCAAGCCGTGGAAAGTTTTCGGAAAGCATGGCTGCAGTCGGACAAAGTCAGGCGAGGTTGTCTCGTATTGCCACTGCGCCGTGCGACAAACACACTTCGGCGACAAGCCGAGGCCCCAGGCCAGAATCTGGGACCGCTGGCCGGAGCAAACGCCCGCCCGGGCTGGCGCGTTCAAGAAGTGGAAGGCAGGGCCGAAGAGGCTGCCAGCCTTCGTCCGCCTGCTTGCCCGAGCATTTTTTCCGACCTGCCACGTCTTGACGGGGACACGGAAGGGGGCCAGGGCAGGAGCGCGGCCAGCAGTCCATCGCTTCCGGCAGCGACAGACAGCAACCTCACCACACCGCCGGGCCCAACCCTCCGCCGCAAAGCTGGCGGTGCTCGCGACGCAAGCAGGCAGCAGTGACGAAGCGGGACGCGTCCTCGTTCCACCGGCCGCCTATCTCGGACTCGAGGACAACGTGCGGACCCTGACAGCACAGTTCCGGATGCGCGCCCTGCTGCCCCTTTTGCGGCTTCGGCGGCGTGAAGAACGATGCAATCGGCATGATCGCAGTATGGGCAGCGCGCGAGCGGGTATGCGAGCCCGCGGCGAGACCAGCGTCAGGAAGGTAATGCCATGGTGCAAGGAAAGGCCGTCGCTCGGCCTTTGCCGCTTATAGCAGCCCAGTGCAGTACTGGCGACGGCGAGCTGGATCGCGCGACGGAAAGAGCGCTCCACCAGCCTCGCCCAGCCAGTAGCCGCCGCGCATCACTGCAAGGGATGCGCAGACAGCCCGCAAGCGAAAGAGGTCGTGCACGAATCGCTGCGACCCTGCATTCGACTGACCGCTTGTATCTCAGGACCAGCCGTATATGCCCCATGCGAGCTCGGGATACGTGGACCGTTTGCAGCGCTCGTCGATCTTCGAATCCTTCAACATCCACCTCGACGGCGCAGGGCTGCGGGTGACGCGACGTCGCTTTTTCCCTCGGCACGCCGAGGTCGTGGCCTTCTGGCAGCTGAGCGGGTATCGCCGGCTCCTTGCTGGGCTGCGGGGGCAGATGCGCTCCCGGGTTATGCCCCAGCAACACCGCAAAGCAGCAGACCGGCCCGTGCAAGAGCCGGGAGCTCGAGGGGTAACCGGCGTCGCCTCGCCTGCCAGCGGCTGCATATCAGCTTACCGGGGCGGTCTGGGCACGCAGACCGGACTGGGTCG